CCCCACCCGCTCTGCCTCCCTTTTTTTGCGAAACCCTCTTTCCTCCTTTCCTGTCCTGGGGCCGGCCCGGCTGCCGAGGCGGCGCGCGCAAGCGTTTACAATTACTGAGATTGACTTAACTTACCCGTATGATGTAGATCGAGTTTTTTTGGGTTGCCGATGCTTGTCTCGAGTTTTCCCGAAAGAAAAACCAAACAAACCAATAAAACGAGTTCTGAGACTCTCCCGGGAGCTTTCGTCTCTATTGGGCTTTGGTTTTGGTGCTGTGGGCCCGAACAGCCCTCCAAGAATGGTATCTACAGTGTCTTCGAGACCATGGGTTGACCATGTACGTGTATTGGCATTGTATAGGCGACATGGCGTTGTGTGCATTGTCACAGTGAATAGGTATCACGTATGATCCGACAGCTCCTGGGCCGCCTTGCTCTGCTCCTCCACGCGCGCAAAGCTCTCCGGATCACGCTCCTGCAATATCACAGATAAAGCAAAAGGAGCAAACAAAAAAAACATGGTCTCGACGTGCCAAATGTGAACGTCTTCTTGCGTAAACTGAAAAACTTGAACATACTTGAACCCTTCGCGGCACCCCCCGCCCTCCCACCCCGAATTTGGCACAGGGTGGCCTGCAGGTAGCTCCTTGAGAAACCCAGGTATGGAGCGGAGCTGGACCTCCGGGCCTCGGTTTGAGAACGGTTTGAGATGCCGGGCTTTTGGACGATCGAGACCGGCAATATGAGCAAATGTGCAGAGATGTGCAGAGATGTGCAGAGATGGCAAGCTTTTTGTGAAACGCCATCTCTGCTGGGGTTTCGGCATCTCGCTGCTCGACGGATCGACGGAAGTCCTGCTCACAAACTGTGCAGTTGACGTGTGGAAAATGCGACGACTGCCTTTTGAGCACTGAAGCCATAACCAAAGGCCAGCCCCCAAGGCCTGAGGCCGCTTAGAGACCGCAGATCGCACACAAAATGCACATTTCACTCCTTCGTCGTCCCATGTCTATGCTGATCACAACAACATAAGCCCCACTTGGGTCTCCAAACGACCCTTCTATTTTTGGTTGTTTGAAAAAAAGCCGGGTTTTCCAGGAAACGACCGTCAACAAAAACAAACGCCCGTAATTACTAAAATCGGCGATTTTTGCGGGGCCGGCTTTCGTGGCATGGGGTTTGGGCCTTCTGTCGGCGGGCTTCGTGGCTAGGGTTTGGGGCTTTTGTGGAGCTTGCGTGGGCCTGGGTTTGTTCTGTGGGCGTTTTTGCGTGGAGTTCGGGCCACGAAAGGCCACGAAAGCGGGCGTTGGGACTGGCCACGAACGGCCACGAAATGCCCACGAAAGGCCCGTTGAGACTTGGTCAAGGTTTGGAGCATTTCGGGATTTTGGGAGCAGGTCTTTCGTGGCTAGTTTTCGGGGTTGTCTCTGTTGAGCCACCACCAAACGCCCCTAATTATCCGCAACTTGGGCATTCCCGACCCAAACGCCCGAAATTATGTGAAACGTCCATATTCCTCCCATTCGCCCGTAAAAACTCGAAACAGCACGAACGACTCGCGACCAGTAAAACAAGTGTATAGGGGTTTCACGATATTTCACGCAAGAGCACTGGAGTCTTCTCCAGAGTTGCATGCGTTGTTGTTCATCCTTTTGTTCATGTCGCTAGTTCATCAGGCCGTGCGAACGAATACAGGCTGTCTGCACTTCGTTTGACTAGCGTAGGGTCGGGCGCCTAGAGGCTCTAAGAAGACTGGAGAAAAACGAATGGGCCTTGAGCCTGGGCATGCCTGGGCCTCAAGCCCAGCAAAACAAATTCGAAGACCGCAGCTCGAAGGCCAGACCCAGACTGCACCTGAGTTTCGAGGGGGACAACTTGTAGCTCTACGTCCTTTCTTTGAGTCCCAGGCCCCTGTGCCAGAACCTACTTCCATACCTACTTCCTGTACCTGCCGGAAATCCTGACATCGCGCGCACATGGCGCAACCACCACCCCGCCAGGCTACCTGAGCCACACGCTTGGGCCCCCGATTCCCTACCCACAAGTGCCCGCAGAAGCCCACTGGTGGCAAATGCACCTCAGTGAAGGTTCAGCACAGTTTCGTCGAGCCTGCTTTGGAGTGCCGACGCGGGTTCTGGCTTCAACTTCACGAACTTATTTAAGCAAGCTCCCCAATTCTCAGAAAGGGGCTTGCAGAAGCATCCGTGGCAGCAGGTTCATCAAAAAACTACAAACTGTACCCTCGGAAAGATCGCGGAAGGGTTGCCGTTTGCGTTGCAAAGGCACGCAAAGGCACGCAATCAGGCAGGCTTTTGTGGCAATGTCAACGTGCGGCATCAGATCTGGTCCCTGAATTCGATGCCAACCCGGTAGACTAACGTAGACTAGCACAAGTAATCTAGCCATCGTAGCCTACTCATCGTGTCTTCTATGCTACTCGGTAGCGACAAAGCAGGAGGTGAGCATGACCTCCACAAGCTCTCCGTGGTCTTCCGGCTGCTTGTTTAAGATCCTGACCTTCCGGAGCTCCGCAAGCTCGTCTGCAGCACTGGTTGCGGCGCTGGCGGCGCCGCTGCAAGCCGTAGCAGCTAGGATCTGGGCATGGCTTGAGTGGCTTCATCAAGGCAAAGAGTCGTTCCGGAGTGCACAAGGCTAGGGATCGATTCAAGCATGCTGTCAGGCACTGGTAGGAAGATTGCGTAAGGCAGATGCAATTGCTCCATTCTTTCTTGTGCAATTTTGAAAATAAACCTCTGTGGTCTCTGCAACATTCTGCAACTCCAAGTGCTGGAATATGCTGGAAAATGCTGGAAAGCTTGCTGGAATGGGCTGGGCCATGCTGGGCCCTCGGGCCACGCTCCGCAATGCCGTGCTGGCGGCCACGCGACTCATCGTTGGAGTCTGGCGAGCTTAGTCGGGCACTCTCCGTTCTATCTCGACTGTTGTATACTGTTAGCCAACAGTGCATATCAGTCTATGCTACTACTGAACATTCCCCAAACCTTAGGCACCTTAGTCGAACGGATCTGCACTTTCAGGCGGCTCGCCACAAAGTTTGGCAAAACTTTTGTACTGGAGCCAAAGGTGTATTTCGATGAAAAACAAGAGCCCGGCTCACCTTCCGCATCAACCCACGTGCCAAACAGCTTATATCTTGAAGCGGGTTCAAGCGATTTTGAGACAACGTGAGCCACACATCGCGTCCTGTGGCGGGTCCTCGGGTGCGAGTAGCAACGGCATCGCAACAATGCTCAGCCTTGGCGACTGATGGGTCGTCACAGTGAGCTCGTTTTATCAACTGCGCACTAACTCTTGAACTGTCTCATCTTACACGCAGTTAACCAGGCGAAATCAACATTCAAGAAACAAAAAACCTCGAAGGCAAAAGACAGAACAAATCAGTACAAGGCTCCTGCGTGCAGAGGCCGGGCCCGTCTCTTCATGAGTGGAAAGCGGTCTGTGCTTCCGGCTGCTTGTGTTTTTCGTTTGTGTGTTTGTTATCTTCTATTATTGTGACTGCGCTCTGCCTGACCGCAGCAAAATGATTTGCAAGCCTTGCGTAGTATAGTCTTGCCACTACCAGGAAAACATCTAAGTGCATCCAATTCATCGACCTCATGCAAAGTTTAGCGTACATAACTGACCCCTTGGTGGGTTCTGGAGTCAGTTGGGTCAAGGAGCCAAGCGTGCGGGTCTCTTCTCTCCATTTCTCTCTCCTACATATGTGCTGAACTTCTTGAGCTACAACCCATCTGAAAATCACGCAGGTCCAAGTCTTCTGAGAGCTCTCAAGCCTCCATTGGCGACCTTCTTATCCAGAACCCGAAGTGCTACACCCACCCTAGTTGCCGTGCAGGAGCCTCTTGAAAGTCACCTGCACGTCTCCGACCCCCACAGAGAGAGAGAGAGAGAGAGCGAAAGAAAGAAAAGGAAAGGGGAAAGGAGAACTGGAAAGGAAACCCACGTGGAAAAAGGAAAGCCGATGGCATCTCGTTAGCGGTACACAGAGCACCAGCAAGCGAAGACCTCGGTAGTGCACAGAAACAGGAACGAAGCGAAAGAAGCAAAACAATTTCCGGATTCCTTAGCACAAGACATTACAACGCACCATATTCACCAATTATTCACTATATGGAACACTCGTTTTAACCCTGCAGGAGGCCAGGGCCCATCCGACATCCAAAGCGTTCACTCCGGGTCCGATCATTTCTCCGAGGATCTCAAGAGTTCGCTGAAGTCTATGGATGTCAATGGCATTCTATGACTAATCTGACTAATATGGATCATGGCTGGCACGAAGAGGCAAAGCTGAAGCCTGCGTGCCGGTCGCACGGTCGCATCATGCTTCACATGCCTCATCACGTCATCATGCTTCACTGCGAAGGAGAAATTCACCAAACACTCTTCGTGGCCATATGGCTATGTTCGCTTGCCAACTCCTGCCTGCTTCGACAACTTCTACAGCTTCTTGCATCCCCTGCGCTCGAACTCGGCTTTGATTTGCCTCGGTCGCTTGTCACTCTCAAAGAGTCTCGAGATGTCTCGAGCTTGTGTTGGGCACTCTGCCCTCAGTCCGTGGCTGAGCATCGCAGATGCACGGAAAGAAGTGCACCATACCGGGCACAGCCCCTTTCTCGAGAGCCTTGGCACAAGGATTGCATCTGGTGCCCTTGCTGTCAGCTGAACTCGGGATAACTCGGGGACCTCCGGAGAATTCGCCGCTGCACCGGGGCCTGCAAAGCAAACGCTGCTCGGACCGCAGAGGTCCAGTTCCTTTGAGTTTTGTCCTTTGCATCCCATGGAAGCCACACAAGCCACTGGTGTCTCTGACCTCTGACTTTAGAAGGGCCTGTGCTCCACTCCGACGATGGTGTCTGGTTCTCCTGCGCTCTCACAAAGGATATACAGCTTCAGTGACGCGGACCTGCAAAAAAAACCGATTTAAATTGGCTTGTCCCTAAAATGTCGATCGTTTTTCCTACTCATCTTACCCCTTATCGCTTTTAAAGTGTTTGCATACATTCCAAAGCCAACATCGGGCCTACAGCCGTGGGTTTCAAGGGTTTACCGGGGAGTTGGAGTCCTTTGAACAGACAAGGTCTTGGGAGTGCTCCCTCTCTCTGGATATATATACATATATATGCATATATATATACATACATACAAAGCCTTTACTTATAACTCTGCCATCGACATCTGGGCATTCAGCTGGCACAGTCTTACAGTGTTTGTGTACCAAATGGGGCACACATTCAACCTCGAATGGTCCAGGTCCTTCAACAGACCCCACCGTGAACAAAATGTTATTGTTCTGGCTAGCGTTTTGTTCTCTTTTTCGACCTAAAGGATGCGACTGAATCTGCATGGTTTCGGCTCTTACTTTGAATCCAGGCCAAGGCCTCTACAACTCTACAACACGTTGCAAAGCGTTGCAAAGCACAGCCACTGGACCGCACGCTGCCACACAACAAAAACCCTGCAACATGTTATTCTTATCGCTTTACAAGCTAAACACTACTCGAGCGCATTCCTTTCTAAACCGCAAGACGCGGCATTTTACAACCCCACGTGTCAGTTCTCCGAGTCTACCACGCAGAAGTTGTATAGTCTCGTATAGATATGTGCTTGTAAAATCAGCTTCGGAGCACTGTGTGATTTGCTGTGCCTTGCTTGAGTCTTACTGGTCTGACTAAAAACTTCTACTATTTCTCCGCATCAATGTTTTGAAACAGTCTCCAGACTACGGAGCATGTTGATCGGTGACACAAGCTTTGGAGCGTGATGGCTGGAAGATCGACTGAGTGTACTGAATTGGGTGGCAGGATGACACTGGGCTCGAGGTGGATCGCACAGATCAGAACGTGCTGGGTGAGAATCGGATAGGGCGGGGCTCATGGGAATCGGATCATATACAATCTTGAATTCTTACTAAAGCTTGAATCATCTTGAATCCCAAACATATCCCAAACAGAAGTCGCTAAAGCCTGAAGTCAAACAGAACCCAGACCTGAGTCGCCCCTCTACGGTGCCCAATGCTACCCATGGTTTTCGTTTGCTTTCGGGTGTAAGGAGGCGTGTACACACTCCCGGATGACAGTAGTATAAACTTGTATAAGCCCTACCGCATCAAAGTGCGCGGGCGCAACCTGATCTACTTAATGTGTTTAAGGGATCCGGGCTGGGAATGCAAATGCCCCGTGGGCACGCGCCTGCGATGCGACTTTACCCAAGAAGATACCCACCCCTGGCAAAGTTGAAGCACTGCAGTGAGAGTCTGCAGGCAAGTCATTTAAGAGCTTCCTGTAAGACGCTGGCGCTTCATGAGATGTTCTGCCGACGTTCTTGCTACTGTGAGCGCCATTATGCGCCATTGTCCTTGAAGTACACCAGAACGGGGGGCAAGCCCTTCTCCACGAGTCCCTGTGCAACATTCGGCAACTTGTATTTAATCGTGCGTGCATGCCTGCGCTGTGCCTTTGGGAAGAACTCCCAGTTAACGAAGCTTGAGTATTTCCAGCGGTTCTGGCCACCCACAACAATGTTCTCTCCTGAAGGACAAGCTTTTGGACAATGCTCTTGTGCCAGTCGATTCACGCAGAAAGCCCTCGCATGCCCTCGGCACGCCTGGCTTTTCCAACTCTTCCGAAGTTCCCAGAGTGCGAAGCTCAAATGCCTTTCGGGAAGCGGGACGTCTTCCAGCTGCTTATAATTGCTGGCGATGGCCTTCTACGCGACGTCACTGCGCACTACAGCAAGGTAAGGTGAGATGGTACATGATGGTACACTAGATCTGCACGAAAGGTAAGGCAGAGCTTCACCTCGTTGTCGAAGACGAACCGCACTCGGCCTGCCTGGACCTTTCAATGCCCAGCTCTCTGTTTCTGCGCCCGTGTTCGCTCAGTGCTTTCATGCTGTTGAGTCTGTTGAGATCTGTTGAGCGTCGGGCAAAGAAGAGGATGCCTAGCAGAGTGATCAGCGCCCCAAGACCGAACCTCAGGATGAGGATCTAATCACAGTCGCAATGGCCAAGCGGTTCAAGTAATAGAGCTACAGAGCCCCCAAGAGTTGCATATTTTGAGTTTCAGGCCCCAAATAAGGCAACGTGCAAAGAGCGAGGCCCGCGGCTCCAAAGATTGCCGCGAGGGTGTAGTCCTCTCTGCCCACTGAAAGAGGAAAGAGAGAGGTTCAGACTGGTTTTGCTAGGACCAGCTCAGGTGACTGAACTTGCCCCCTGCCCCCTTGCTGCGCCTCCTTGATCACGACGGAAGGCTCCGAACTCTGCGGGCCTCCGAAAAACCTTCTGCAAGAATCTGCAAGAAAATCTCTAATATCAAAGGAGAAAACAAGCTTGAAAAAACAGAACCATCCGGAACTTCCGGAAAAACTGCGCATGCTTGGAAGCTGACTGCCGTGGGACCTGCATCCATGCAGCATCTAGAAATCACATGCAGCTATGAGAAAATCATCCGCCACATTTCCTTACCTTGCCGGTTGATGTCGAAGATGCCCGGGCTGCCCGCACTCCTTCAATGAGCCCACAAATCTGCACTGCTGTATTGGCACATATGATGGCATCATGATTGCGACATTTTGCTATGCTCTGCGTTGTTCTGTAATTGGCTTCGATGGCTTTGTGGTGGGTTGCATGCCGGGCAATCCGGGCAGAGTTAGGCTGGGGAGGAGCAAGGGCGTGCGCTTTTGCCATCGCTTCTTCAGCCAGGATTTCATCTGTCCGCTCGTAGAACTTGGTTCGGAGCGCCTTGAAGCAGATGCAACTGAAATCAAGTCTTAGCAAGGCTGCTAGACATGACGCTGTAAGCAATGTTCATTGGCAGAAACTCCACCTCTATTCGCTCGAGCTTCTCCTCGTGCACTCCGGAGTCGCGAGTATCCTGCCAGCAGAGTACTGTATTGATCTGTATTGCATATGTATTGCACACCTTCAAGAGAGGACCACAATGCATCATGCTAAACCATGCAGTGCTGTACTGCCAAGAAGCCAATGTTCACTCCAAGGCACAGAAAGAAGCAATCGGTTCTCGTACCAATAGGCCGTGTCTTCTCGAAGCGCAACAAGGCAGAGGCCATCTGCATTGCAAAGAATCCAGCCTTTCAGCCTGTTAGAAACGGCAGTTCGAGGGAGTTAGACGGCATGAGCTCAATGTGATTTACGGAGCCTGATTGCAGGCCCTTGCTAGACTCGATGGTTCCTGCCTCTGAAAGAGTTCGTGACTCTTCTCCCGGAGTGGTGCCTTGACTTCTTCTACTTCGAAGGCTACCTGCAGGGTTCCCGGGCATGTACATTTGTGAAATGTAGTAAACGAAACGCAGCAACGTATTCGAACTGAATCTTCTGAGAACACTTCTGTTGAAAACGTTCAGCTGCACCTTTTGTGTCGCAAAGACAAAGTGGAAGTCCAGAGGCGGCGCCAGCCAGGCTCGAAGAAGCCTAGAGCTATGACCGTCTGTAACGCTGAGTTCACACTGAGTGCATTTGCATAGCAAGCCACGTGTGCACAGAGTTCCGACCCTTTAGAATTCCAGAAGCCGGGCCCTCGGAAACAGTTGCTGTATTGGCACCTCTTGGCCTGATTCTGAGAGGTGCGGTGTGACAACAAAGTCACTAGTAAGCCACTATACACATGTACCAGTCATGTAATGTAAGGAATGTAACATGAGACTGGTCACTGACTGGTCTGCAACATCAAGCCTGCAGCGGTCAAGGTGCCCAGGGAGCACAGGCACAGCGAAGTCTCGCAGTCCGTGAAAGAGAGTTTCCATCAGAGCTTCCTGCCCTCAAAACCTGCACAGCCAAGAAGCTTTGTGTAAAGCTGCGTGCGGTCGCCGCGATCTGGAAACGAAATCTTGCGCCTAGGTGCTGGGCTCTTCTAGCCAAAGCGACAGCTGATTCTACATCGTCTCTCCTTTAAGAAGCCTCTTGCATATTCCTGGACGCCTGGCCTGGGGTAGAAGGCCAAGCGGTCAAAGTCGGTCTCGCGGTCATTGCCGAAGCGGAAAAGCCAGTATGGTGCAGGTGGCGGGAAAAGCTGTGCTATTGGCATCCGGATCAAGGTAAAACCATGCTTCTCTGCAATCCGGGTGAACGATGCGACGAAGTGAACCATGTGAGTGGAAGCACACACCTGCAACTTGACTGAGCTTGGCTATGCTTGGCTGCACAATTGCCAACGTGGTCTGGTGTGAGATGTGAGAAGTTCTCAGAATGGGAATTATTCAACAAATGAAGCTTGGCATGGTCTCAAGGCGTTGTCAAGGCGCCAACCATTGGATGACAAAGTTGAAGAGCTTCGGTGGAGCGAAAACATCGTCGTAGAAGAGCTCAAACCAGTCACGACTGCCATTAAAGGCCGTCTGCAAGGTCGTGTCTTTTATGTATACGGTGCTGCACCCGCGTCTGACCAGAAATGAGGCACCAGTTGAATCCTCGTTGATATCCAGACTAGAAGCTTCATCATCTGGTACGGAGCTGCATGGTGACAGCGCAGGCTGCGCGGCGCCAACTTTGTTTCCAAAGCAAAGCTCCTCCAGATCTGCCTTGAATGCAGAGAACTTTTGAAGGATTTCTTGTCTGACATCCTTTGGAAGGACTGGTTTGCCACTGGACTGCAGCACCAAGAAGAAGTCCGTACCAACTTCAAACCTTCCGTTCAGCTGCTCGATGGCTTGCTCGAAAATTTGAGCATGAGAGCCTCCACCAGGAGGCTTCAGCACGAAGAGGTTCTGTTTCAGCGCGCTGCGTAGCATCCAACCTGTCGCAAGCTAGTGAAACGAAATGCTACCTTTGATGAGACCCCCAACTTCTTTCCACGAACATGAGACTGCTTACATTGAGCTGGCCTATGCATGGATCCTGAGCATGTTGTCCATCAGGTCCTTCCCGTGCGTTCTGCAATCTAAGCATGGTAAGAAACCCGCACGCAGTCCAGATGCGGAAGCAGGGCCACTACATGACATGGATGACTGCAGTACCTACAAAGCTCGGATGAGGAAGACGGGTTTTTGACTTTGCACCGGCGCTGTCCAGAGTTCAGAAGTGAGAGCTTTGGGCAGGCATCAACAGTCACTTGTGCGTGCAGTGTCGCGACAGTGCTTGCTGCATTGCAAAGGAAGATCTGATGTGCCCAGCACGAGGTTTGTAGGGGTCCTTGATGAATTCCTCGCTTGTCACATTTTTTAGGCTTGGATGACTTGAGAGTTTTCAGGTGCCATCGATCACCTTTCCTCAAGGACTACCACCTACTTATGCAACTTCACCTTTTTTCTGTTGCGGAAGATTTGAGCGCCGGATTTTATATTCAACCCCACAGCTCGAAAAGCTCTAATGGATACCTGTTCGCACCCAAAATATGAAGAAATTCGAGAACCGCAGTAAACTCCACATGCGCGCTGTAGCGCGCTGTTGTTTACATCGCGTGTGATGACACTGGCTTAGTATGCTGGCTTACGGCTGTTTAGAATGGCGATGGGCACGGTTCTTGGGCCGCTGCCTCGGTTCTTTCTTCGCCTTCCTTCTGCCAAGACGGTTGGACCGTTAGGACCCGGGATGTCATCTTGCTATATCTTGCTGCTCCCGCCCTACCCCAAAACTGACAAGTTCAAACGAAGAGTAGGTGCTCTCCGCTTCGATGTTTTGGCCGCGTCCTGCTTTCACAGGGTAAGGCAGTGCTGGAGGCATGCGCAGACCACCAGCAACCTGGCAAGGCTTATGAAGCACACGCCTACGTAGCCTACATTAATTAGCCTACGCAATCCTCCGCAGATACCGCGTGACATCTGCTGCACTCAGCACTGTCACGACTTCTCGATTGCTTTGGGCATTTGTGGAAGCAAATAATCCAAGATGCTAACTTTTGTGCGGCAAATACAGTAGACGTAGACCAGTCGTTGCTAGTGTCATCATGAATAAGGACATAGAAGGACTATGAGCATGGGGATGCATGGGAAAAACACATAAAAAAAGATCTTTGGACATTTTTGGAGAGAGCGCTATATTTGGTTCGCGTTTGTTGCGAAGCCTTTGAAGCTTGAAGCTTGGCTAGCTTCGTGAGCTTTGTCTGAAGCTTAGCTGCTTTTTGAAGCTCGGAAGCTTGTCAGCTTCGTGAGCCTCGCCTGACGCCTGAAGTCTGGAGCCTGTGACGCCTGAAGTCTGGAGCCTGAAGTCTGAAGCTTCTCGAGCTTCGCCTGAAGGCTGAAGTCTGAAGCTTCTCGAGCTTTGCGCTTCGCGCGTCGCCCGACGTCTGAAGCTTGGAAGCTTCGCGAGCTTCGCGCTTCGCTTGAAGCCTGAAGTCTGAAGCTTGCTCAGCTTCGCGCTTCGCCGCAGCTCGAGGTCTCAAGTTTCGCGAGCCTTGCGCTTTGCGCTTTGCCTGAAGTATGAAGCTCGCAAGCTTCGGGAGTTTGGCGCTTCGCCTGAAGACTGAAGTCGGAAGCTTCGCCAGCTTCGCGCTTCGCCTGAAGCCTGACGTCTGAAGCTTCTCGAGCTTCGCGCTTCGCCTGAAGTCTGAAGCTTGGAAGCTTCGGGAGCTTCGCGCTTCGCCTGAAGCCTGAAGTCTTAAGCTTCTCGAGCTTCGCGCTTCGCCTGAAGCCTGACGTCTGAAGCTTCGCGAGCTTCAGGAGTCTTGAGCCGCGCCGGAAACGAGAAGCTTGGAAGTTTCGCGCTCTTCGCCGGAAGCTGAAGTTTGAAGCCTGCAAGCTGCGCGAGCTTCGCGCTTCACAAACGAAGTTTCTCTGACCCACCCCTGGCTCGCAATCGATGTTTGGCCTAGAAGTCTCTCCGCAACCTCGTTCCTGTCGGGAAAACTTCGCCCAAGCCAACCAAAACCCACGCGCCGTGCGACCGGCTGCAAAAGCTGAGGTAAGCCGAGAGGCAACTGCATCCAGTCTGTTCCAATCAGGCTGGGCCGGGGCGTGAAAGCGCACTCGTGCTGAAGTCCACGTCGCGGAGGAGGCTCGGAGATTGGGCAAAGCTGGTGGAGCCTCGCGAACTCAACCATTGAATTGCAATGTCTTGTCCACACACTCCCGAACACTGCACATGCTCTTCTGCCTGCACATAAGGAGCTGCGCGGGCGCTGCTGTTGGATTTCTGTCGGACAAGATGTCGTCGAATGTAGAAGCGGTACTCTTGCATAAGTTGGTGCTCCTCCTCTTGCTCCTGACACTATTGAGGTGAGATCCACGACGCTGAAAGGATCTGAAATGTAATCTGTAATATTATAAGGAGGAGCGACTGCAACGGTGGATTCATGGTGTAGTTCGTTCATGTTCGTTCACACGGTCGAATCTAGGGCTCACTCAACTCCTCAATCATCAGTGGGTTTTCTATTGTTGAGGATACTTTCTCCCTTTTACCTTTGCCAGGCGGGCTCACTACAAGCGGATACACCCTAGTATAATCATAGTGAGCACGTGAGCGAAACAAGCGAGCGCGCACATGACGGAAGCATCAGAGACAGAGCACGCTTGTATCCGCCGACCCCGGCAAGCTGCGGGCCAGCGCCAGTGAAGGGCGTTTCCGCTCTCACAAATGTCGGCGCCGTCCGTTCAAGGTCCTTGCTTTCCCCGCTTGCGTTTTTTCCTACCCATCCCCCCCCCCCCCCCCCCCCCCCCCCCCCCCCCCCCTCGCCCCCCTCGAGGTCTGCGGAAGCGGCGTTAGCCCTTAGGTTACTATTATTCGAGGAAGCTTTTGGTTTACGTTTGGTCTGGCATTCGCTCAATCACATGAACGCCACTGCAAAGACTGGGAATGAAGGGAGCTCGCGGACACCACCTTAATCTCATGACCCTTTAACCCTGATAGTGTAGGCGGTAGCTAGATCATGTAGATATCTTCAACGCAAGACGTTGCAACTTTGAAACCTTGCCTCGTGGATTGCCAACGGGTCCCCTTCCGTCTGAGGATCGAAATGCCACTGCGTGCCGGCTGCTCGGACAACCAGGCGCCGAAGAGAGGTGGGCACAAGCCTTAAACTCATTCCCTGCTTCCATACTGCACCATACTGACACACGTTCGAAATTGCCAGTCTCAACCTCAGAGTCTTGGAGCCATCCTTACACAAGGCATCCACCAACTATCTTCGGATCCCCGCTGCATCCTTCGAACTCTCGTGCAAAAAAACATGATCTACATGCCGGACGGTCTGAACGGGGGGGGGGGGCCCACACGCAAGCTTGGGTGATCGTAGGTTTTACTTGATTGCGCTTGTGCAAGAGAGCCGCTCACCATGAATGAGCATGTCTTCTTCTCCTGATGGTGCCGGTGCCTCGTGACTTGGCTGTGGGACCACTGGGACAACTACGAATCAGTGATCATTCTGCATGCCTATTAATTGGGTCACGAAAGGCCGCGGTATGTCACGGGTACCGCTCTGAACTCTGATCTGCCACAGGCCAGATACAGGCCCGAGAGCTGAAGTGAAGCGAAGGCGTCAATGGCTTAAGATGGCTTAAGGCCTCACCGATGATGCCAGTGTCTGGAGGTTGGTGCCTGTGTTCACGTTGTTCTCCCATGTTTGTTGAGGCTCAAGACTCAAGACGAGTCTGACGAGTCTACAAGATTTTAACACAAGTTGTGACACTGCAAGCGAGGCTCGACATCAGGCTCTCTAGGCGGCCAGGCCATCCGCAGGGTCGAACTGTGCTCCTGGAAATCGCAAGAGGCACAAGCCACCACCTCACAGTTGCACGCCGCCTTTTGGTCCCACTCGTACAGCTGCGCCCCAGGAATGACTTCCTTAGCTTGCTTTCCCGATTGCCCTCGCCAACAAACAGCTAGAAATTACTGATTGATGCTGCTATGGCTTCTGATGCTTCTGCTTGGAGAATAAAAATACCGGCTGAGTTCGTCTGAGCCTGAGCATGATCGAGTCATTTTGAGCCCAGTCTCCAGGCGAAGGCCAACGAGGTCGTGCAACGCTCGGATCCTTGGACTGTCATACAAAAACCGACTAAAGAGTCTAACGGTTGAACAAGAACCAGATAATACTAGCAATTTTCGAAGAATGATACTCAACTATACTCAACTCATTTCCAAGTATGGCGAGGCTCTTCTCGGACTCGGCATCTTCGGACTCGAAGCGGCTCGGGGAGACCGAGTAGACGGTGTAAAGTGCGCCCTTCGGCAGCCTTCAACAAAAGACGCAAAGTCAGAAGCTAACCACATACGGTCTTAGCATCACTAGTAGGGTGAGAGGCGCTTGCCTCTCTTGCGCACATTTACAACTTTTAATCTAAGCTGAGCCTGCAGCATCCCACAGCCCTGCTATGCATCGGCCAGGCCGCACGAGCGCACTTGGCTCCGGCAGCGCACCTCAAGGCACCACAGCCATGCACAGTGCAGACGTGTGCAGCCTGTCTCGGGAGAGCAGAAGATGTCACCACTATGACTCTCCACTGACACCTGCTGTCGCAGCTTAGTGCACGTTGGCTTGGCGCTGAGCCCTTGGCGATTGAAGAACGAGCGCAGAGCAGGAGTGCGAAACTGCAGGGCATGACAATGCTTGACAAAGAGCACATAATTGCTGAACTCCTTGCTCTTAGAGCTGCCTTCGCCACAAACATTCCGCTTTGACACTTATGACACGAAAATGCGGTTCTCTGATCAATACACGGTCAACATTGGTGCACTTCTTATTTTGATTCAAGCCACAGTCTTTACATATTTCTCCACCAAAATATGCATACTCTATTGGAGGTGCACGACATTTTTTGGCAGATGCCCTGTGCGAGACCTGGACAACCATTGTCAACAGCAGGCTTTGTGCTGTAATTTCCCGGGTCCTCGTCCCAAAGAGCCTTGTCAACCCACGCAACCTTCTTTGCCTCAGTCAGCAGACTTGAGAAGTCTCGGATGGATAGAGATCGATGGAAGCATGCAATTGCATGGATGCCATCGAGTCACGTTTAGAACATCTTCCTCCACACAAGCAGCTTCCGCACATTGCTATCGTACAAAGTTCACTACCTCCATGAACAAATGCTCCTGCCTCCAATCTCTTGTTGAGCACTGACCGCCCACCAGCATCCTCCTTCACATATTTAATATGCATATTTCTGAGCGTGTACGTGATGCAAACAAAGTCCATCCCTGAATGGCCTGACTCCAGTTCGGAATGCACGACGGGGCACGCGCATGCCGTTGGGAATACAACATTGGCCTACAGCGGGAAGGCTCGTGAGTGCAAAGCATACCTCTTTGGTTGTCTGGAAAATCACAGATTCGCAGATCAAGCGCAAGCAAATGCAAGCAGAGCTTTGAAAATCTGCCGAGCAACAGCAGAGAAGACCGGATAACACCTGCCCCCGAGAGGCACGGGGAGAAGCTGACCTGTACAAAGCGTGCACTGGACCGGCTTGAATTGTTGATGCTGTGATGCCTCTGTGTTCGAAGCTTGTATCGAAAAGCACCGCATCCGAGCATGTTTGGGGTTGGGAGGATTATACTCGCTTTTGTGTAGGGATCTTTGCCGCAGCATGAACCCTTTCAGTCTCACTTGGCTTTTGTCTTGACATGACTGGACACCAGCTTCCCAAATCACTGAATGAGGCACATGCGGGCTGCGGCCCGAGCTTGTAGGTTTGAGCTTTAGCACACATATCGCACAAGGAGATCCGAACATCGGACCTCCAATCATCATCTCTCTATGATCAGCTGGTGCCACCAACTTGTACACATGAGCTCACACTTCTCTGTGTTTTCTATTCCCGAAAGCATCGCGAAGGGTTCTTCCGTGCGAGCCCTCTGACCCAACAACATAGACTGAAGTGCATAGAGTCGAGTGCATAGAGTTAAGTGCATGGAGTGAAGTGCATAGAGTCAAGTGCATAGAGTTAGGTGCATAGAGTTAAGTGCATAGAGTTAAGTACATAGAGTGGAGTGCATAGAGTCAAGTGCATAGAGTGAAGTGCATAGAGTCAAGTGCATAGAGTTAAGTGCATAGAGTCAAGTGCATAGAGTTAAGTACATAGAGTGAAGTGCATAGAGTCAAGTGCATAGAGTTAAGTGCATAGAGTGAAGTGCACATAGTTAAGTGCATAGAGTGAAGTGCATAGAGTGAGGTGCATTTTAAAACCAATAAAACCATCGTTTTTTGCACATTTTTTCGTGTCCGCGTCAACCCTCTGCGGCGATCGCCATGGTCGCGGTGCTGAAACCGTCGTGTTTTTGCGTTTTTTGACATACAAACGCAACCCCTCTGCGGGTTTTCGCGCGGCGCGGTGCCAAAACCCTCGTGTTTTTTGCGTTTTATTTGTCACCGAAAACGTCCTTTGTAGTACAAAAAGTAGTACTGTGCAGGGCCGGGGCGTTCTGTTGGGCTCTCAAAATCCTCCTCTGTAGTACTCCGACCGTGGCTGGAAAATCGACTTTGTAGTACAGACGTAGTACGCCGGGGACTTCCGTGGCTGGGAAGTCGACTTTTGTAGTACACATGTAGTACGCCGCGGACGTCCGGAGCTTCCGTGGCTGGAAAGTCGATTTTTGTAGCACAGACGTAGTACGCTGGGGACACCCGGAGCTTCCGTGACTGGAAAGTCGATTTTTGTAGTCGGGGACACCCGGAGCTTCCGTCGAAATATCGTGGGGCTCGAAAGTCTCGAAACCCTCGCAAATATCGTGGGACTCGAATTCCGGGGCTTCGAAAACCTCGCAAATATCGTGACGCTCGAATTCCGGTGTGTCGAAACCCTCGCAAATAACATGGGACTCGAGTTCCGGGGCCTCGAAAACCTCGCAAATATCGTGGGACTCGAATTCCGGGATGTCGAAACCCTCGCAAATATCGTGGGACTCGAATTCCGGGGCCTCGAAAACCTCGCAAACATCGTGGGACTCGAATTCCGGGATGTCGAAACTGTCGAAACCCTCGCAAACATCGTGGGACTCGAATTCCGGGATGTCGAAACTGTCGAAACCCTCGCAAATATCGTGGGACTCGAATTCCGCGGCGTCGAAAGCGTCGCGGGACTCGAATTCCGGGATGTCGAAACCCTCGCAAATATCGTTGACTCGAATTCCGGGGCCTCGAAATCCGGGATATCGAACCATCGTGGGACTCGAATTCCGGGGCAAATATCGTGGGACTCGAATTCCGGGATGTATTGAATGCCAATGAAGTGTATAGAGTTGACCACAAGTGCATGGCAGTCAACTCAACACACTTGAATGCCTTTCTTTTCAAGTGCATACACGTCCAATATACAAGTGCAGTATGCATCCACTTGTCCAAGTGCATACAGTTCAAGTGCAAAGAGTCAAGTGCATGGAGTCAACGCACGGCAAATCGATGCTTTCGGGCCATCCCTCTTCTAGTGTTTTTTCTGCAAGTCCAGTGGTGCAGCGCACCTCCGGGTAAAAGCTGATCTGTATCCATGTTGGAGATTGTGGCAGTTCCTGTAAGCAAGACCAAGATTCGTTGGCACTTCCGAAAAAGACTTTCTGACACACTATATTCTGGATGCTGGAGCTCTTTTCTCTTGTAGATTGAAGCTCGGCAGTCTGGGCGGCAGCAATGGCGGCGAAACTCAGGTCGACTGGACTTCGTTCAAGCTTCAACTCCCCAGCTCATGATCTGCTCGGGCGAGACCTGACGCACTCACAACATGTCCAGACATGTTAAGTAAGCATTCAGAAAGTCAGGATACAATCAAGGTGATGGGTTCGGTTCGTGACACTTCAAAGCCCAAGCTCAGGGATTCTCAGGAAAGTGACAACTTTCACGAAACAGTCTGTCTTGACGGCTTGCCAAGAACTCCTTACACTCAAGAGGCTGAAGCGCAGCAGCAAATGGCACCAAGATGCACCAGTTCAGGAAGGCTTGGCAACAAACATCAGGCGCTGCGCAAGGTTCGGCAAAGATGCCAGAGCCCCTCCAATTACTGTGAACATTAAAACCTCACATAGCATGTCCACGACGGCCGCCTCGAAGACTTTTCCTTTGCCCGCGTACTGATCCTAAGCGGGACTTCAACGTGGTAACGAGTCAAGGGCCAGGGCGATTCGCAGCGCTTTGCACCGATAATCAAAACAAGCATCCCAGCTTACGACAACTTTACTGGCCACAGCGTTGCCAGCTCCATCGCAGGGGCCCAGCTGAACAACACGACCGCGCTCTCCCGCGTAGACCTGCTGTGATTTTTCAGATTTTTTCAGCCCCTTCGCACAGAGGGTCTCATGAAACCCTCAAACCCTCGTTAAGTTGGGTGTCACACGGAAGCTGGAGGCCAGAAACCAGGGAGTGAAGAGACTGCTTTCCTTCTGGTGTCAAGTTGGTGCAAGCTTGTGGATAATAGGACTTGTCACCAATGGAGGTCCGGCGCAGATGCCCAGCCATGTTGAGACACACAACCTACACATGTTGCATCCAGACACCGTCTGGGCTTTATAAGAACATGCCTTGTACTTCGAGCCGCTGGCAGCATCAGATGATGACATTTCAGGAATCTGCGCAAAATAGCCTGAGTGCCAAGACTTCATACCAGATGACCAGATGATGCCAATCTACTCGCGAGATTGCCCTCACTACCTGCTGATGAAACATGCCTACACAAGCTCAACATGCACTCAAACTTGACTAAGCTGCCAATACAGTACTGTACCTTCATCTGAGCAGCATTTCTGGTTTCTGCCGTCGACCACGAGATCGACGCCTTGTGATGTGACTTTGGCAGCATCAGCAACTACGCAGCTTGTGCCCGAGCGAATCCGAGTGCACTGCGGTACTTGGCTGCCTCGCCTCTCCTTGACAATCACATAAGCCGCAACTGTTCACAGCCTCATGTCGCCTTGTGCCAGAGCTGCTTTCCAGTCCAGGCACCATTTAATCTTCTGCAGGGCTACAACTCGACGGCGGGGCTTCAACCTAAGCTCTTCAAGCTCCAAAAACTTTGCTGGCGCACGGGCACATTCTTTCCGGCTGTTCGCTAAGCACGCTCTAAAGTCTCTAAAGACCCCTCTCATGATCGGGGTGCTCGTCGACAGCCTGGCCATGGCCCACGGGGCTGTTGGCCAGCAGAACCTCAAACCGTTCCACAAAAGGAAGTTCAGGAAGAAGATGAGAAATCAAAAAAGAGCGAAGCAGGGGGGGAGAGAGAGAGAGCGAGAGAGGGAGAGAAGAGGAGAGGAGGAAGAGGAGAGATGCAGAAAGGGAGGGAAAGAGCGAGAGAGAGAGAGAGACAGAGAAAGAGACAGAGAGCTTTTCATATTGAACTGTATTTTCCTCTCCCACGCCTGGCCGTCTTTCACCTCGTACCTGGGGAGGTGGAAGTACATCGGCCACATCCTGCGCCCGCATAGCCCGCATCGGTCCATGTGTGATTAATATTTCATTTCTCAAAATGGAGGGCGGGGCTGTTCGGGGGGCATTGCGGGACTTGCAGGATCCGCAGAAAGCCGGCCTCATCCAAAAATTCTGATATTCACCTGGCTCCTTCATCCTCGGACTCGACTGCATGAAAAGAGCTCATGCCAAGTACTCCTTTTACCTTTGTCTGTCTATGCCTTAAGCTCCCGAAGTATTTTGAAACATACTCTGATTGCCTGGGCACTCATACTGAGTCATACTACAGTGTTGATGATGATGCTGATGCGCACACTTGATGAAACAGATTAGAACACGTTGTCGTTCGAGAACTGTATCAGCCCGTAGCTGCATCAGCTTCTACTGAAATATCTGAAATTGAACTCTTGCAATTTTGTCAAGGATGTCAAGGCAAACCGCATAAACAAAGGCAAGCCACGTGCTCATCGAGAAATGCAACCTGCGTGCGACTACATGCCATCGGCAGAAAGATCACGTCCCCTCTCCCTCTTGCCCTCAAAGAAACAGCATCGCATCACAGATCACATCACAGGCCTGAAGATTGCCAACAGTACTTTGTGCTACGATTGCTAGCATGCACTGCGGAGCTGTTATTAGAGATAGGTCCAACTCAGTTACACGGGCCCACGGGCTCACGGGCTCATGGACCCACGGGCCTACACGAAGACCACAAATCAGATTATAAGAAAAATGCTTCAGAATAAGACTGCGAATTTAATACTCATGACACCCCTAAACATGCTTCACTTGTCTCGTCGTTCGAGGGGACACACAGCTTAAGACAAGACACTTAGACTAAAGAAAAGATGCTCTTCAGAATAAAACTTCTGCGGATGTAGTACTCCTGTCCCCCCCCCCTCACCCCCGACAAAAAAGGTACTTTTGCCTTGTCGTCGGAAGAGGCGCATAGTTCAAGATGAGACACCTAACCTATACATTAAAACTTGCAATGAAACATTTACTTCTTCACGATGTGGACAAAGTTTTCCGTTGCCCATTAGGACGCACAACCAGATTCAGAAAAGATGCTCTTCAGAATAAGATACATCTGCAGATGTGATACTCATGCCCTCCCTCAAAATGTTACACTTGTTAGTTAGTCAGTCTTGTCCTTGGAGGGGACACAGAGCTTCAGACAAGACACTCAAACTAAGAAACGATGCGCTTCAGAATAAGATACGTTTGCAGATGGAAGGCTCATGCCACTCTCATGCCCCCTCGCGAGAGAATAAAGGCTGCTGTTGTCTTCTCGCTAGAGGGGGCACACGGTTTAAGACGAGGCGCCTAAACTAAGTAAGCTTGCGAGACACGATTTACCGTTTCAATGTCGCTTATCAAACAGGGGAAGCATGCTACCACCGAGACTAAGAACATACTGCACGTAAATCTACGGTTGCGTTGAAAATCCTTGGGAAGGCCCGAACAAATCAAAATGGCACACTCTGCGTATTAAACTAAAACCTGCAGATGCAATCCGAGTGCCCAAGATAATTGAACCAAAGTCGAGAAATACTCTGATTCCCTTGACAGACCCCAAACTTTGTTGTTTCAAATGTTCCTTCGCTGACATATCCACTGCTCCTTTTTATCGAGAAATTGAATTTTGCAGTTTTGGATAAGACCTTAAGCGAGATTGAAGGGAGACAGGCCTCCAAGCCCAAAAAATTTGCAGCGTAATGGCGGTCAGCTCGGAAGCTCTGGTCCACGGGGCAATCTGCTGGACGCATAAAGCCAGAGAATGAAATAGAATGAAAAAAGTAGGGGTATGATACGGTTTGAATGTCTAACGTTTCCAGACGTCGCCCTGGAAGGTTTTGGCTTGAACAACCTGCTTTGCAGAACCCTGTAAAAGACTCAAAGCCAAGAAACTTATGATGTACAAGCGCCAGTTCCCATTGCATCCTCATCTTTAGCTCTGCATCTCATGAAGCTTTCATCATCTTTCATCCAACGCATACCCTACACACAAACAAACCCCCACCGAGATATGCGAGCACTTCGTCATATTAACTCAAGATTGTCGACGGTCTACTTATCTGTACCGACACCTAACAACCGGAGAATGTGGAAATTTCAAGTTCGCCGGGTACCACGGATTGGAACGGCTCGATCAAAAGTGTTTGTTGTAAGTAAACAAATTCCCTACAAAATCTTCTATGAATAGATCACTCGGGCCATCGTATAGAACCTCCTGCGCCTGATCCCTGTTATTATCAATCGTCTTGAATTCTGACTTGTCCAAGATACCATCTGTCCCAAAAGCTCACTTGTCCTCAGCATCCGCATGCGGTTAAGAGCCACAAGCCCAAATGGCAAATGGAAACGCCATTTGTAGCATGGAGTCGTTCCAAATAGTCGATGATGCCAACCTTGCTCCATCAGCCCCATGTATTTCACGTGGTTGGGAATGGGCTGCCATTGGATCTGAGTGTCAGACGGCAAATCGCAATGGCCCGTCCTGTGGATCCTGCGTTGGTTCCCAAGCGTGTGGCCAACAAGCAGCCTCTGGAGTTGGCCCGCTGCGAAGAACTACCAGCTGCAGTTGCCAAAGCACGCGGTGTCCGCATCCAGCACGAGTGGCCAGCGTGGCGACTGATGCTGACACTGGCACCTTGGTGTCTGCGACCCTACATGCTGCAGAGTGCAGCACGACGTTTCTCGCCAATTTGTGCAGTAGGACGTGCCACTACCAGCAGACTACGACCGTGTCTTCGGCACGACAGTCAGGAATGACTGCCAAATGAAAGCATGATCATAAGATGAGTTGCGTAAGATCTGATGGCACATCATGTGGTACCAGGAACAACGAATAGTCGGTCATATGCAAGTCTCGCAAGAGTTCGGAGTCCTCCGCATTGGCAGATCGCAAGACAGTGTTTCGCACAGCACCATGACCTATCGATGCCTACCGTACCTATAGGACCTATAGGCCCTTGATGGCCCTTGGAATTTTTAGGCGACGTGAACCTGGAAGGCTCGCATATTGTCTGGACAATTCTCGAGGGCATGGTCTTGAAACGGGTCCAGCTCCAGTGTCGCAGCAGCCTCTCGGCTGCCGCAGGCTCGCAGTGGGAGGCCAGAAGGAAAAAGCTGAACAAAGCCAGCCTTGAAGTGAAGACGCCGGTGCTACTCGCAGTCAAGTGACAAGCACGATCAAGCACGCGACTACAACTCAGCATGCCAAACGTCAATCTGGCAACGCATGTCGTACGATTCGCTGGTACTGCTGCCAAGAGACATCCTTGCGATGCCAGACAACATCATCTCCGAACAGACTTTTGCCTCTGCACAACCATTACCCAGTGATGCCTGGGGACAACTTTGTGGCTTATGCCTGCTTTGCAGTCTGAGCCAAGCACCATCTCGAACCCCGCAAAATTTGGGGCCTTTGAGGTCCTGTCGACAACAGTTCATCTGACACTGGAGGGCCGATGTGAGATAAGGATTTGTCACCGGCACAGCGACGCCATGTCCAGGAAGTCCACCTCATCGTGGCTGGAATCCTTGGTCTTTGGAAGAGCGTATACGAGCAGTCCGAATGGTCAATTTCATTGCGCAACATGGCAATACAAGCAAGTCCAGACACAAGACATCAAGAATAACAACAGACAGGTCAAACATGTACAAATTATGACTTTTACCGTTAGTATAAACACATCCCTGCCGGCCGAAACAGTCTTGAGGAAAATGCGACAAGACGGTCGGAGACCATGACTACATATGCCGGAAGAAAGCAAGAGATTCGTCAGCCAGAGAGGGACTTTAATAAGTTGGTGCACGCATCGAAATCTCGCATGATCTCGCTCTGCCTGTGCTGCGAAGAATTCCAATATGCGAGTCTACGGACACTTAACAGCATTAACAATATCTTGCATTTCTCTCAGCATATCTCAGCTTACAGCCGACTGAGGTTGCCACCCTGGGAATGTGCATCGTGGTGCCTTCGATGCGCTGCTACGAGCTCCCCCCGAAAGGAACTCGAAACGGAAAGCGACGTTTCGCATGGCTTCTGGGCGGCTTGATGCGGACTTTGTGCCTTGTGGAATGCATGGCCAAGGGGCGATTGGCCATGGTTTTGGGCAATTCCACCTTCCGCATGACGCTCCTCAACTCGTGACACCCCGTGATACTCCGTGACGTCAGTGCCGAGATTCGGATTGCACTGACACCAACTGAGGCCGTTTGCTCATTTGAACTAACCGGTTGCTTTGCACAAGCCAAGCTGCCAGTGCACGCGTTTGTTGATGTCTGCCGTGTCCAACACCGCGCAGATGGGTGCAATCCTGAGATGCTCGACCTCGCTAAGTGAGATCGCTTGCCGTGGAGTCTCAATGCCGAGGCACGCCGTTCTATAGCAGCCTGTGCAGCATTGCATCCAAACCCAAAAAAAGTTTGCCGGTTTCTTCCCCTCTGCCCTGCGCGAGCAAAACGCAGCTTTGAGCCAACTGATCGAAACTAATGTAATTGGGTAAACATTCTGGGAGAGGTAAAAGGAGGATCACAGCATCACACCATGCCCAAGCAAGGAGTCGAGGCCATGACGGAATATGGACTAACATGCATAGAAAGTGCTCGAACTGCTCGAGTCGTTCCTGTGCCATCTGTGCCATCTGTGCCTCCGTGCTTCCTGGTCTCTTCATTTAGCTTCTTTTCAATCGCTGGCATAACCTGCGTGGAACAAAGGGAAAGCCGGGAACGAGCAGGGTTGCAACTTGAAACTCAAGATCTGATGTCGACGTCTATGTGCTCCATCGTGCTCCTGTGCCTCGCGCACAATGTCTGGGTTTTCATCGTCCTCTGGAGCAGGGACTCGGCAACTCAAAATCTGAGTGCTCGTGCCCAGCGTGTGGAAACGTGGAGACACTGCCACTGCCTTGAAGTTCTTGATGATGAAACGCCGCATGTTCGTCACGATCGCAGAGCCACTCTTCCTGGCAGGCCACTACGATGAAAATCACAGACTAGGCACGGTGCGCGCTCCTGAATGCCGCACGGACACTGCGCAAAATGTCTTAGGCCACCGAGACACCCCGTCTCATCCCGCTTGGCGTGGATATCGGCGACGTCCTGATCTTGTGGAATGCAACAAACAAGCCCTATAAGCCCTGGTGCCACGCAAATTGTGCGTATGGACAAATCAAACGGTGTAGGTGTATTGTTGCCTGGGCAAGGTCAGCAATGGAACGATGATCGCAGACGGGCCGATGTTCGAGGTCTTCCAGTCCGGCCCAACAATCCCGGAGGTCGATGCCAAAGTCCTCGGTTGTCCGCCACTAGTATGCCTTAAGGCCTTAAGTAGTTGAATGTATACTGGCAAGGAAGACTGCTTGGTCACTGCGATCGGTGAAGCAGCAAAGGATCGAGAAAGCGGTTAGCGATGCATTCCGCATGAGCTAGCAGCTAGCAACAAGCAAACTTGGCCAGTCCAGGCATCGAAAGTCAAACTTCGTATGGCTTGCGTTCGACGCAGAAGTGCCTGCTGCGCCACAACAGTCACACAAGCGCACGAGTGATGCTCACACATGCGTATCTTGTGCTCCTCAGACCCCCACCGCCAAATCCATCAAGGACCTCTGATGTCAGTAAACAGAGCTCTGGCCCATGGCAGAGGAGCTTATTACATTATTACATCAATTGGCTGAGCATGCGCCCTCTGGGGCGCTATTGCAACTTGCCCCGAGTCAGCCCCGTGAAACCATATATGGTTGACACAGTGACCCGCTGGTAAAGTAAAGTGTGGAAGGCAGCGGCTTGCAAATGCAATCACATTCAATCAGGGCTTCTGCGCACATGACAGATCCGAAGCCACCAGCGTCCCTGACTTTTGCTTTCAGGGCACGTGAAGTGGTTGGCATTCACCTCGCCCACCTGTCAACTTGCATAGTTCTGCTTTGCAACTTGTGACGCCACTTACAGAATCTGGCACCGCAAGCCAACAAGCCACAGCCAACGTACTTTAGTGACAGTTCCAAGCTGCTTCCTGTGCATGTCGAAGGCTACGTCAAGCTCAAACTGCCACAGTTTGAAAGGACAAAGCATGGCTGCACTTTGCCCAAGCCTGCAATAGCCGTCCCAATACCTTATGTCCAGTCGTGTCCTGAATGCAACGGCAAATGGGGTGCGTGTGCGTGCTAACTTGTCGAAACTCTGTCCTCTGATTACCTGCGCCAGGCTTAATTCACGTCGATCTGCGGACATATGCATCTCCATATGCATCTCCCCATTGTGGACGCTTCGAAGTGGAAATGCACATCAACAGCTGAATGACACATCAAGTAGACGCTGAAATTTAAGAAAGCAGCGAACACAGATGTAGATGAAACTGCCCGATTTGCTGCGCACGCCAGCGATTGAACATGTCTTGCAGCATTTCAACTACGCCAACCGCGCTTGAGACCGTCTGTAAATGTACCACCAGCAGCTGAGCTCCTGAAATTGTTTCCAGCCCACGCCACTTCCGTAAAGTACCTGAGCAAGAAGCGTAACATAGTACAATATAGATACAATATAGTACAAAGCAGTTTCGGCTCGTGTCCCTCTTCGTTTCATCCAGCTGGACCTAAACAACAAACGGCGTGCCTTCTTGCCATTGATGTTTCGAATGACGAAGAAGCTGATCAGTCTTTGTCGGATCCTGTGTTGCGGCAACGGGTGCAACGATTGTGCTCGCAAAGCGGTGGGATCCAGGCTGACAGTTCTGGAACTATCACATCTATCAACCCAGTACTGTGATTGAATTTCTTTCGTCGATGAACTTGGGACTTTTAGATAGCTCTAGCAGGCTTTAGCATGCTGTAGCATGCTTTAGCATGTGCCATGTCATGAATGTCATGCGTCTTGCAAGTGCCAGGAGTCTGTTTCTCCAAAGGCTCGCTCACTGGGACCACGGAGCGCAATGAGCCTCCACAGCGTTGCTGCGGTGTTCTCCTGAGGCGGCAGCGCGTGACAGTATTACACAATATTATATATTGTATACACAGCATTAACGCGATACCCTTTGGAAGGAGTGTGCATCCTAGAGGACTTTGACTTCGATGCATCCTACGGACCCCCTTACCATGTACACAGGGCGAGTTGATGCACAAAGGACGGTCACAAGCCACAAGGCTCAGTGCATTTAGCCTCGGTGGCTAAACACGCTGCGACTCTCGGGACAATTCCAAAAGAGGAGCCGTCGCAGGAGTTCGGAGGTGCGCCGACCTACGCACTAAGCCCGAACCCACGCAGTAAAATGCACAGTAGCAGGCGGCAGCAAATTAGAAGGCGGAACTGGCGCTTTTCGCATTCGCAGCCATGTACTCTAAAACTTTAGAAGAACGAAACGCGAGCGAGTTAAGTTGAGGCTGCAGTGCTCTGTGAATTTTGCCACGGGATCGGCGGGAATGCTCGAGTCCAAGCCGCAGTGCTGTGTGCATTTTGGCGCTTTGGGAGGTAAACCATGGGGTTCCTGGGGGGCACCCCGAATGCGCACCCCGCGCGCGCGCGCGCGCGAAAAGTTACCTTGACGAGGCATGTCGACAGTACTGCCCCTGGCAGTACTTTCGACATCTTTCGACATGTTGGCTTCGAGTGACCAGCAGAAACGTGCTGAGGATGCACACTCGAAGGCCATCTAGGATACACACTTGACCGGCAACTTGATACACACGCGACCCTGCCCGCCATGCCCTTGAACCACAGAGAAGCTCTTTGAAGCTGTCGGACCTGGGAACCTTCACGAATCTACGGTATCTACGAACACTCTTGCCAAGCTGCGCTAACAGCGTCAAAAAGTCATACATCATGTCGGGGTCGTACATGGCAGACTTGTCTGCGTCCTGCAACGGGCATGTATGGGCACGTGCTCCTAACAATTCCTAACAGCAAAGGGATGTGTTTCGATTGTTGGATTGTTGAACTGGGCATCGAATCCGCTCCTGCTTGTGGAGCCGGACATGCCCTTCCTGCAACGAAACACAAACAGGCAGTTGCTGTGAGGCTCACCGTCTGCAAAGGCACAGCTCCCTCCGACCTTTCAAAGCGTCCTTTTCCTTGAATTTCTAGCGTGGAGGGAACCCAGACATCTCAGACGTGGTCTTTGGGATAAATTTTTGGCTCTCAGAGAGTCTCCGACAGCTGCTGTCAATGTCTGAGAGTTTCTGTGAGTTTTTTTACTTTCTCTCACACCAGATTTGCAAATGCGTGTAAGAATCGTGTAAGATCCCGTAAGTGCTCCGCACCTCGGACCAACACTGTGATACATCATATCACTGCGTCCCCCGTGGCCTCATGGACGACCTCCCGAAGTGAGAAGACTGAGACTGTATGCGCCCAAAGCAGTCGCCAAATCCACCTGAGTCAGTCAGTCGTACCAATGCGCACTGGTCACATCTAGCCACTGCCTACTGTAATGCTCTAGTGTGATGTTGTAAACCGAGCTGCCGTGCCGTAGCCATTGGCGCACCCTCGACGCCGCAGCTGTGAAAGCCACAGCATGATTTCGCAAACTACGAATGAATGCTTTGAAGATGCAGAGCCAAATCCAGCAGTCCAGGTACAATTTCGAGCTTCAGTTTAGCTTTCCAATAATAATGTGACGCATTGTGACATCATTTGACTCGCGCAGGATCAGTGCAGCATTCGTGCCGTTGCAAAAACAACGCACCCTGGCAGCCTTGGCTTCGGGTGCTAAACGTCCGGCGGGGGGGCAGCCAGGCCAAACGACCTCAGCAGCCACTTGGGGAGTACTGTCGCGGAATGAGCAGCGTATGCTGTGCACTACATGTTTTGCTGCGCCCAGAACATCTTGCACTCCAACCTCATAACCGCCAAACATGGCCCATGCCATCGCCAACTCTGTTGTTTGCTGTACGCTTGTCAGCTTGCTGTATGTCACCAGAAACACGTTCCGCAACAGTGCCACAATACGCCAAGGCTGAGCTGAGATGCCCAAGGAACTGCATGCCTTGGTTGCGAGAATGCAAGGACGGCCAAGGATCAAGCTCCGAAAACAGACGGGCGACCCAAATACACGAAAAATCACGAAAACAAAAACTTGTCTCAATACTACTGGGCCAGGCTCCTTGCAAGGCTTGGCGTAAACTATCCTCGACCCATACGCGGCAGCGCTTGGCAAAATCAAAGCACGGCTTGAATGCGATGCCGACTTCAATACTTGGCTTCCTTCCACAAAAACTTTCGCGAACTGCTGAATCATGCCGCGCTGTATCGCGCTTTCATGCCATTCTTTCCAGTATGCGGTGGGTCCTCTGCTGACTTCACAAGTTTCGAAACATTTCTTGGAAAACCATCGGATGTTCAGGCAAGTCTGGGAAGCGCAGGGGGATTCACTCGCGACCAATATCGACCAATAACCCAGCGATGCAAAGACCACTGAAACATACTGAAACACAAGACCTACAAAACAAACAAGCATCGCTTTCGGTGCGCTCTAAGCGTCGCAGCAATGCATCTGCATTCTACATTCACGGAACATGCTGCGGCTTCGTGCTGATGGTGCAGAGATGCATGCTCAGAATCGCAGCCAAAAGGAAGCTGTACTGTACGTAAGCGTTCGGGGCAACTAAGATGCATGAGGCTTGAAGGAAATATGGACGTCGAGAGCGGGGTTGCTGCTGACTTGCTTGTGTTGTGCACGTGTCTTCTTCGCAATGACCCTTACCAAAGCCAGCCCACCGTATCACTTGATGCTGTAGCTCTGTGCTCTGCGGCAAGAATAAGGCTTGGCCTCCCGTGGGGAGCTGGCGGCTTGCCGCTGGGCTCTCTGTAGCAGCACGCGCAAGTCTCGTGCTGGGTCATTTTCCGCTATTGTAATGTGCAGAGCTCCTCGTCGGATCCTTCACTCGTGATGGGTTCTGGAGCGTTCTCGATGAAACCTGGCCTGGCACTTCTTCTAGCTCACCTGCAAAAAGAGCACAGTTGCCACATGCCCGCAGACACGCGTGGATCCCTTGTCTCGGCACGCGAAGTCCCTCTACCGCTGCTAGAGCTTCCCACTCCAGGACAAAGGCTTGGCAACAAGTTAAATGAATGGGCCATCTCCGTCATGGGGTTTTTTAATGTCTGCTACCCAAATCCTACCAAGAATCAGCGATGTCTTCAGGCTTTGCTACGGTCGCACCAGAGCAAAGGAAAGCACGCAGCTTCGGGCAATTTCGGATGCAGCGGCTGCCACTTGTACCATAGACTGGACAAGCCGAGGAGCAGCGGCGGACTGCGCACAGACACCTCGGGGTTTGACAAGCAAACTGTGAACTTTGTCGATCTTTGTCGCAGCTGACAGGCTGACATTTGTCGTTTACATGTCCTTCAGCGGATTCAGCGGTTGGGCTGATTTCTCAAACCCAGCCGGGGCAGCCCTTTGCAGTATCCTTTGTTCTTACTTCTTGCGGATCAGGCGCACACTGCCTTGCACGATCCAAACACGCCGAAGCTAAGGTGGTGACGCAAAACGTTAACAATAATTACCATAGTTGGCAGACGCTGCACGGTCGCCAAGTGCTCAGGCAAGAAGCGAAGTGACAAATGACCGGCTTCGTCAGCGCGAACCGACTGTGTGACAACTGGTACATATGCCTCGGGCAAGGTGCGGTTGTCCTACTTAAGCCCCAAATGATATGCTTAGACCGTCTTGCCGGTCTTCTCTATATGTGCCCAGGCCTCGTGGCAGCTTCGATGAGCCCATTGCCTTCAGGGTGGCAGCTGTACAGTCCTCATTCTCTAGAGACTCTGAGGACCTTGATGACCGCGCGTAGGGATGAGGAGTGTGTTCTGAGTCGATTGGGCCCACTGCCCATCGCATACAGTTCTTCTGCTTCTCGAACTTCCGCAGGCTTCATTGCAAGATGGAATGTAACAACCCTAGGCAAAAGCAGTCAACAAAACGTGGTTGAAGCACATGATATTCGGAACACGCTGTACCACGTACCACAAGCAGACGTAAGCTTCTTCTGCAAGACGGCGGTGCCTGCCGTCAGCATGATTATCGCTTGACCCGTTGAGCGAAGGTCTCGGTCCTCCGTCTTGATTGATGCATGCTTGCCAGCCACACATGTTGTACCACCACGATGGCTCGCGACCTAACCGTTTGTGCCCAGTCCTAGATCTGCTAAGTAAATAAATAGATATCATTGTTGCAAGACAAGGGTCCAGGTAGTGTCTGTCGAAGTGGTCCAGAACCAAGTTGAGGCACTCAAGGATGTTGCCTGCAGGACTCTGTCACACGTCAAAGCGAGACAGCGGATGAAGAACGAACTGGACTCAAACAGACACAAGCCTTTCTCGCTCTCTCTCTCTCTGAAGTTCCAGGAGAGGCAATGACCCCAAAACCATGTGCACAGTACTACGCCGAAAAAAAGAGGGTTTGATGAAACATATGAAACACAAGCCATGTTGAGGATATAGGAGAACAAACCCAACCCCTGCGTCACATGGTCTTGGCACGACTTCCCCCCCAGCAGGGTCGACTTAAACCTACCAGTAGAATTTATGAACCGGTACGGGTAATCCTAAACTGACACCCTGCCCATCTGGGCAGTTTTACCTGCCCGCCCTGCCCATCCGTCGCCTTATCTGCAAATCCCACAAACATTGCAAAAACTTCCGAAGGCACATCCCAATAACACAGAACCGATCACAAGAAACATGCTCGCTGGCAGCAACGCTGCCTTGAGAGGCTTCTGTCATGGACTTTGCGGACACGCCACCTGAGCTCCAAAGCAGCTAAGCATGCTCTTATATGCTCTTGGTTCAATGCTGATATCGACGGGAACATAGCTGCACCCAGTCCAGGAAGTGTTCGAGAATCGTCACGACCGGGGCTTCACAACTGCGCATCGCATGTCTGCTGTAACTTCGCCCAGCAACTCCAATCAGCATCGCCTTATCGAGGCCAGGCCAGGCTCAGCACATGTTCAAGAAAAAGCTGTACATGTCAGGTCACAATCCTCTGCAAGCCCTCTTGCAATTTGACACAATTTGGCTCACTGCGGCCTTGAAGTCCTTCTTGGTCAAGCTCAGTGAACGACATGCTTTAATATGCTTTAAAGTTTTAACATGTTTTAACACTTGCCATTTCACCTGCTGGTCGGGAGGTGCTGCTCTTGATGCCATGGAACTCCTTCATGGGGCACTGGCCCACACATGGGAAGGAGATGCTGTGGTCCACAATGACAACCAGGAAGCGTCCTCGTGCATCGACATGCACACCTGACGAAGCCTGCAGAATTGCACAAGGAAACGCAAAAGGAATGTTCTTCGCGAAGAATATTCAAAGAGGCAGCTATATAAGCAAGTAGTCACCTCTTTTCAGCATCAGGCCTCGCAGCAAGTTCGCGAGCTGCTGGCAGTACACGTGCCCAGCCCTCCCAAAAGACATCGTAGAAATCCTTGGGGAAGTGGCAAAATGCTACGGGGGAATGGACTTCAGCAACGACATTGCGCTTAGGCAGAAGCCCTGGGTTCTGGCTTGTTCTTGGGCTTGGCCTTATTCTGGAAGTGGCTTGTCCCAACGCTGCTTTCACTCGGCTGAGCCGAGGAGTAGGCATATGTGTCTTGCTCAACGTGCAGCGAGCCGCTGCCAGAGGCCTGCAAACCATTGCAAGCCAAGCAAAGCTGGAATCCTGAGATCCCGGCTGCATCCGTTTCCATGTTGCCAAGCGTGAATCCTGAATATGAGGACTATTGAGGACTTCTTGCGTGCCACAGCGACCCGAGCATCTAATTCCTATAGCATGGAGCAAATCAGACAGCTTGCATGTCGATTGCCTGCTCCGAGTATCTTCCCAGTGAGATTCGCCAGATGATGCTAAAGGACATGTTCAACATGCGAGGCTCATGTAACCCTTCCCACAATTCGCGCCCAACGTGTTTGAAAGCTGCAACCGCTGCCCCCTTGAACTGTCGTGTTCTGAGACCTCTGGATCTGACTTGGCGACTCCTGCACTGAGCACGCGTGACGAAGTCTGCCGTAGATTTTAGTTCTGCCCATGGCATCAAATGCCAGTTGCATGTAGAAACTGGTAACACAACCCGAACGCGTCAGAACCGGCTCCTTTCGATCGCGTAAACAGGATCATGCGCAAATAATGCCTCACTGCTCAGGCGATAATTGTTCATGCTTTCTCGATCTGCATGTCACATACATGTCTGCTCAAGCAAGACTTGAATTGATTGTCTTCAACCATGTTGTGATTTCACGCTTGCCACCTGCAAGCTACAGCTGTACAATAATCCAATGGGCCAGGCATGCTAGAGAACTTGACACACACACACACACACACACACACACATAGAAAGTACTCACAAACTGCGCAACGTCAGCACGTAAGCTATGGGCCCGCTTCCCTTGGTCACCTGCAGGGACTTTTCAACCAGCTGCGTGAAGCACTCGACCAATGCCTGCAAAGAAGCTCATCGGCTACGGCGCTACAGGCAG